GAGCTCCAGGCATGGGCCTTTCAAAGTGCAAAGGCCAGTACGTGATAATGAACCTAACCTTCACCAAAGAGAGGTCGGGCCTGTGCCCTCAGTTCCTGGGACGTAACCTCCTAAGCCCCAGAATACCTGTCTGATAAAGTACCTCTGCTTACCCAGGGACCTTGGGCCAGCGAGAGAGTAACTGTGTGATTCAGGGAGGGGGCTTTTGGTTGTACTGTATCAGCCAGCTGCTGGAGGGGCTGGAGACAGATGAGCCATGTGGACAGTCAGCCATGCCCATGCAAGGGAACCCCAGCAGAAACTCTGGACACAGAGGCTCAGACGACTCTGCAGCTGACAATACTGCATGCACATGGTCCCGCATCACCAGGAGAGTAACGCTGCCCATGAGCCCATAGTGAAAGGACAATAGAGGCACCGTGTGGGTGCCTTCAACTCCACCCTGGGAGACCCTGCCCTCAGCTGATTTTCATCTGTATCCCTTCACCATCAGAAACCATCACTGGTAGTGTGACAGCTTCAAGTGAGCTCTGGGAGTCCCTCAGGCAAATGATCAAACCTCAGGGCAGTGTTGGAAATCCTGAACTTGCCACTGGTGTCAGAAGTGAGGGTGGGATTAGGGGACTGTCTCCTTTCACCTGGTGTCAGAAGTGAGGGTGGGCTTGGGGGACTGTCTCCTTTCACCTGACACCCAGTGGGTACTTACTCAGTGTGTCCTCAGAACAGCAAGGTGACCGGGGTGGCAGGGGCAGTGAAGGAGGGGAGGCAGGGAATGACACAGGATGGGTCTGGACAGAGCATGTCTGAGGGTGCCCAGCTCAGCCGCAGCCCAAGGAAAGGCCACAGTGCTGGCCTCTGGCTCAGGCAGGGCTGGCGGGCTGACCCTCCCCTGCTCATCCCGACCTGCACATGCATGCCACTCTGCCCTTGTGTGGTGAGGACCTGACTCCTCCCCAAGCCAGAAGAAGGGCGGTGAGGAGAATCCACGGATGTGAGTAAATCCAGACTCAGGGAAAACCCCAGCCGCACAGACAGCCCCCTGCACACCTGACAAACGAGAATGAACCACATGCAGCCCAAGCTCAGCACCACCCTCTCACCTGCCACCACCCACACTTCTCTGTTTAAAAGGCTGTCGTCGGTGAGAACTAATATTTAATGCACATCCCCTCCATGCCACCACCATAGTAACTGACACGCCACCGACAGCTGAACCGATGCTGCTCTCCTGGTTGCTGTGTCTACACTTATTTTGGAAAATGATTGATCAAAAGTGGAAAACATCTGCCACCCTGCTTTGAGGCACAACCTGCAGCCTGAGAGCAGGTGGAGCCTTCGGGAAATTGCCTGTCTCCGGAAACACATGCTCTAGCCTGCTGCGACATTTGCAGTAACAGGCATCTCAGTGTCTGGCAACCGGCTCTACCAGGAAATGGCCAAGGATGCTGCTGTCGCTGCAGATACCAAAACCCACCCAGCCTGGCCCCAGGGGCCCGCCAGCTGCAGGAGGAGAGGCAGCAGCTTGGAGAAGGGGGTCAGGTTAGTTGCCTGTGGCTGCTGTAACAGATTAACACAAACCCAGGGGCTTCCAATAGCTCAATGGATTCTCTTGCAGTCCTAGAGGTCAAAGTCCAAAATCTGTCTCACTGGGCTAAAATCCAGGTGTCCGCAGGGCCACTTTCTTCTGGAGGTTCCAGGGCTCCTCCTGGATTCTCCACTTCTTTTGTCTTTTCCACTTCTAGAGGCAGAGGCCACCTGCATCCATCAGTGTGTGACCCTTTCTTCCATCTTCAGAGCCAGAAGCTGCCACCTTGCTTCCGGGGTCAAGCTGCCATGTGCATGTGCAGTCAAAGCTCCCACTGCCCCTCTCCAGACACAAGTGAACACACTGGGCCCACCTGGATCATCCAGGATGACCCCCTCATTGCAAGGTTGTTAACTACACCTGCCATGTCCCTTTGCCATGCAAGGTGCTAGTCAGTGGCTCCGGGGATTATCACATGGTCATCTTTGGGGGCCAGGATTCTAGCCCAGGTTCCCTGCAAAACAGAGCCAGGGCAAAGCTCATTGCTGATGCATTTTCTTTGGCAGGGGCTTGGAGGTGAGGGGAGGGCATCCCAGACTAGCAACAGGGAGGGGAAGGGAGGTGAGGCGGGTGCATGAGCTGGTTATGGCTTCAGAAGAAAACCCAGATGGTGCTCAGCCACGCGGCCCTTCTCCACCAGCCACGGTCTCAGAAGCACACCTCAGGGAAGTCAGGGAGAGGCATTTATTCCTCGGCTCCTTCCTGTCCTTAGTCCTACTTTGCCCTGCAGAATGTTAATTAGCTTTCCCAAACAGCCAGCCCACCCCATGCCCCTCGATGTGGCCTTCTTCTCAATCTAGAACCTGGAAGAGATAGAATAGTTGAAGCCTCCACAGATCCCTCCAGTTTGGCGCTGGCTGCCACAGACACTGCAGCCCCTCCATGGTGGGCTGACAGATACCCACAGCCCACCTCTCACCTCACCAAGGACGAAACAGCCTGGAGGTCTTTAGAGGCAACATGGCAAAGGCAGGGGCAGGTGGTGCTGCGTACATCGGGGAGGAACATAAATCAAATTCTGCACAGCAGGGAAGTCACTTATCCATCCACTAGGCCCGGGGCCGAGCACAGGACCCCACACTCAACACAGCTCAGTGAAGGCAACACCAAATGGACAGATCCGTCAAGCACAGACACATCACCAACCCCAGCACCTGGAGGTGGGGAGTTACTTAAACCTCTCTCTCTCTCTCTTTTTTTTTTTTTTTTTTGAGAGAGGGTCTTGCTCTGTCACCCAGTCTAGAGTGCATTGGCTATTCACAGACATGCTCAAGCAATGACCTCCTGGGCTCAAGCAATCCTCCCACCTCAGCCTCCTGAGTAGCTAGGATTACAGGTGCCTCCCACCAAACCCAGTTAATTTTTGTACTATTTTGTAGAGACAGGGTTTCGCCATGTTGTTCTTGAACATCTGGGCTCAAGCAACCCCCCACCTTGGCATCCCAAAGCGCTGGGATTTCAGATGTGAGCCACGGCGCCCTCCCCTCCCCCGGCTCCTTCATTTCTCTGAGTCTCCATATGGCAGCAAGGATGACACAGCCCCCCACAGAGCTGTTTCAAGGAGATAATCCTGCGAATGGAGTTTGTGAAGTCTCAAGCATTGCTCAAAAATCAAAGGAAAAATGTTTAGAAAGATGCATGGATGGTTCATCTCCCCAAGGCGATGGGCCTCATCTGATCCCATAGAACAAAAAGTGGGAGGAAGTGGGGAGTCGCTTCTCTCTGCTGGGGGCTGCTCGAGCCAGCATGTGGGTCTTCTCCCACCCTGCTCCTGTTCCTTAGGACTGTAGACTCAGGCTGGCATCTATACCACTGGCCCTCCAGCTTTCTAGCTTGCAGATGGCAGGTCATGGGATTTCTCAGCCTCCATAGTCACATGAGCCAATATCATAATCAACCTCTCTCTAGATATTGACACAATTGGGTCTGCTTATCTGGAGAGGCCTGACCTCTTGCATCCCTGGCTTAAATATCCCCCAAATATAACATTTTAGTGGCTAAAAGATAGCAAATTTCCTCATCGACATTCTTCTGTTCAAAATAACAGAGTAGGTATTCAGGAAAAAATAATAATAAAATAAGTTAAGTAATTTAAGTCATTCAGAATCACCATCTTTGGGTGGGTCCTAAAACTGACATTTTCAATGGGATTGTTATTTTTTTTTAGATGAAGTTTCACTGTTAGTGCCCAGGCTGGAGTGCAGTGACGGGATCTTGACTCACCGCAACTTCCACCTCCCAGGTTCAAGCGATTCTTCTACCTCAGCCTCCCTGAGTAGCTGGGATTATAGGCACCTGCCATCATGCCCGGCTAATTTTTTATATTTTTAGTAGAGACAGGACTTCATCTTGGCCAGGCTGGTCTCAAACCTCTGATCCACCTGCCTTGCCCTCTCAAAGTGCTGGGATTTCAGGCGTGAGCCAGCACGTCTGGCCTTGATATGAATTTTAAAAGAATATAACTTGCAAGCCATTTTACTTATTCTGAATGAGTCCTCATGAAAACATAGTTGTACAGCCCAGTGTCGGGTCCAATGAGGTTGTAAAGGTGGAGAAGCTTTTTAAAAATCACTTTTAATAGAAAAAAATGTCTCTTTCTGGCAGACACTGTCACAATCAACATTTTCAAGACTCCCAGGGCACCCAAGCTGGCCATGGGCTGCAGAAGCCAAGTGTCTGCCATGGCCATCTGCCTGAGAGCCAGCCCTTGGTCCACCAGGGTCAGGCGGAGCCCACAGCCTCTCCTCTTCAGGGGACTCCCTCCCAAGCCCTGCCATGGTTTAGATCAGAGCAACAAAACTGCACTCTGCACTTGGACCCACGCAAGCACTGCCTCATATGAGCAGGAGCCACGCTGGAGGGGGACAGCAGCTACCCAAAGCCAGCGCCACGGGCCCCTCCCCTCAATGCTCCCTGACTTCTGAAAGTGGGGCAGCCAGGTTCCTTGCCGAGCTGGGATTCACACCTCCACATGTGGTGGAAACTGAATGTCCACCCAGCACAGGGGTCAACATCAGTGGCTCCTTGGCAGGAGTGGCTGGAGGGGTCGCCCTCCTGCATTTTAGGGTTGCATCTGGACCCCACCAGGCTCCAGAAGGAGTCCCAACTCCAACACTAGCTCACACCAGCACTCATTCCTAATCCTGAAATCCCCTCCTGTCGAGCTCTGTCCAGAAAAGAGCTCATGAGCCTGGCTGTTAAAGCCCAAGCCGAGCAGGGCACACAGGAGGCACTGGGCGGGAGGGACCCTTCCTGCCATCCCGCTCTGCCAACACATCCGTCCACCTTCTCACGCCACACCACCATCCCTTTCAGGAGCTCCTGGGTTTAGCCCCCTTTGTCCACTAGAGCCCTGAACCCCAAAGCCAAGCCCTCACCCTAAGAGGAAGATTCTGAAGGAGATGGAGCTCCTTACCTTGACCAGTTCCTTGAATTTGGGGTCATCCCTGGAGGTGGGGTCAATCATCGTGCGTTCCTCGTTCTCCTCTGCCAGGGACAAAAGGAAGTCACCGTCAGCAATTGTAGGGTTAGCAGGGATTCAGGAAGCCAGAGGGAGGCTGGACTCATGTCTAACAAATGAAGAAGCAGAGAGCCCAGCACTAGGGGGTGGGGGCTGTGTGCCTGCAAGAGCCACCTTCTGGAAGGTGGATGGGGCATCCTCCCCCTTCTGTAAAAGGATGAAGTCAAACTCCATCGTTCTGCCTGGCCTTGCTTCTCCCAGACTTCACCAACAACTGGTCCAAACCATTTCCACTTCCCAGGAGAAATAATGAGAGAGTAGCATTCACAGGGGCATGAGACGCATCCCCTGCCTGGAATCTGCTATGTGGGAAAGCTTTAGGCACCAGGTAGTTCCCCATGGCCACTATTTATAAATACATGTGAAGAATTGGGATGGTTATGAGATGGAAAATGTTTGGTACATTGAGTGGAAAAGAATCAACATGCAAGGTTGTATGTAAAATAACATGCAGAAAACATATTGAGAAAGAAATGGCAAAAAGAAAGCGGGGGGATGATGTGTATCAACGGAATGTGCTCATCCTCATCCTCTTTCTATTTCTCTACCTGTCTGCTTTCCCTCCATGTTTCAGCCTGGACACCAGGCAGCCAGCTGAGCCCCTCACAGAGGACAGTGCCATGGAGGTGGTGGGGGGGGAGGAGGGACTGTGGAGGGGGCACCCCCAGAGGCCAGGCATGCTCTGTGGCAGAAATGCCCAGCACCACACAGAAGCCAGCGGGCTCCAAGCACCTCTGAACATGCTCAGGGAAGGGTAAGGGGGTCTCAGGCCATCCACGCTGTCCAGCTCCAGGATCTGCACAGAGCACGGGATGGGTGGGGCCCAGGGTCCACTCACCAGGAGGCTCTACACCACGCTTCTCTCTTTAAGAGGAGAAAGGGCACAAGAGGGGCTCCGGGCAGAAGCCAGGTACCCCTAGGACATACATGTGGAAACAGCCAGGACACAGTAGAGACCAGGCTCCCAGGGCCCAGACAGGCTCCCACAGGGCTGGAGACACTGACTGTGTTGGTCAAAATGAAAACAGCATTGAAGCTGGGTGTAGTGGCTCATGCCTGTAATCCCAGCACTTCGGGAGGCTGAGGTGGGAGGACTGCTTGAGCCCAGGAGTTCCAGACCAGCCTGGGCTACATAGTGAAATTCCCATCTCTATTTTTTAAAGTAAATAATATAATACAATACAAAAGAAAGAAAAAAAAAGGCTTTGAGTGAATCTTTCTGTTGTTGTTAATATCCACTTGACATCTGATTGAGAGAAAGTTTTCTGCTGACACGGATGTGATGTGACCTCCCAGCAGCAGCGTCTAAACTCTGACAATGTGGAGAAACTCTTTTTGAAGTCCTGCAGATCTGACGCTCGGGAAGGACACGCCAGGTAACATGCAGGGAGCACTTGGGAGTCCTGGTGATGTCTCTTCGAAGACCTCCACAGCCTCCCACTCCTGCTGGGACCAAGGCTGGCATCCTCCAGGTGGCCTCCAAGGCTCCTCTCCAGCCTCCTTTCCCACCCTCCTGGTGCAGTCTGCTCCAGCCCGTCCAGCCTTCCCTCATTCCTTGAAGCCTCGCTGCCACCTTCCCCGGGCCTTGGTACCTGCTCCTGCTGTCTGACCCTCTCTCCCTGGCCCATGTGTCCTTCATTCTTCAGACCTCAGCTCCCCAGCTGAGATCCTTCAGTCCAAATGCTAAATCTTCCAAGCTCTCCCACCCCAAGGAAGCCTTGGTGTACCTGTGTGATGCATGTCTGAGACCCCCCTCCAGACCACCTGTCTCAAGTGGGCAAGGAGCAGGGCCAGGCCGTGAGTCCACAGGTATATGGCAGGGGGTGGAGGGTGGAGAATGAGTAGGTCACTACCCAATCCCAGCCTTCAGAGAGGCCATTTCTGGGAATATCCCCTTCAACCCACACTAAAAATCTAAGCATTGCCCTGTATCCCCACCCCTTGCTCTCCCTGAACAGAGAAGAAACAAGATTCGGGCCCAGCCAGCTCATGTGGACCTCAAGGGGAAATTTCTGCTCCTTGCTGAAGGCTCCAAGCCCATGTCTAACCCCCCAGCAACCCCTGGACTGGGCAGCATGCCATGCCTGCTCTGATGTACCAGGACTGCGGGCTCCTCGAGGGGTCCTGCCTCAGTTGGTCACCAAGGGGAACGGAGCATCTGAACCAGAGACCATGAAGGGTGGAGGAGGACAGAGATGCTGTTTCAAGTCTTAGCATCACCAAACACTTTCTCAGAGGCATCTCTGGCCTCTAATTACCCCTTTGGGGTAGCTTTCATTCCTGACCCCACCTGGAGGAGGACAGTGGGCCTGGGAGGGTAGGTGGCAGGCCCCAGGCAGGTGGCTGTGTCTGCAGATCCTGCTGGGGTCTCCCAGCCACCTGGTGATGGTCTCTGTCACCCGGGCTGGAGTGCAGTGGTGCGATCTCAGCTCACTGCACCCTCCACCTCCCTCCTGGGTTCAAGCAATTCTCCTGCCTCAGCCTCCTAAGTAGCTGGGATTACAGGTACCCACCACCAGGCTGGCTAATTTTTTGTATTTTTATTAGAGACAAGGTTTTGCCCTGTTGGCCAGACTGGTCTAGAACTCCTGACCTCAGATGATCCATCCACCTCAACTTCCCAAAGTGCTGGGATTACAGGCATGAGCCACTGTGCCCAGTCAGGGCTGCTCTCTTCTAAGAGGAGGGAGAGAAAGTCCTATGGACCCCGGTGAGACCTCAGGCAGCACCACCAGCTCTGGCTTCCAGTTGGCTGGTGGTTGAACTCTCACGAGTGTTTTTTCTCCATAAGCTCTCGCTGGCCAGGCCTCGTCATGGAAACCACAGAAAAGGGAGGAACCGGGACTTCCCTTTGACCCGGGGATTGGAAATGAGTGGGATGTTCCACAATCGCCTTCCAGATCGACTGGGTCCAAACACACTTCAAGGAACACATGAGTTGGCTGTTGCTCATCACATCAGGCAGGGAGTGCGGGGGCCTGGCTCACTCGGCAAGCCCACCGTGTAAGCCCCAGGCCTCAGCCAGCCTGGCTGGCCTGAAGGTAGGAAGTGTATTAATCATGCTTTGCATTTTCTTTTTTTTTTCTTTGAGATGTCTTGCTCTGTCACCCAGGCTGGAGCACAGTGGAGTGATCTTGACTCACTGCAACCTCCGCCTCCTGGGTTCAAGTGATTTTCCTGCCTCAGCCTCCAGAGTAGCTGGGATTACAGACATGTGCTGCCATGACTGGCTAATTTTTGTATTCTTAGGAGAGACGAGGTTTCACCATGTTGGCCAGGCTGGGGTTGAACTCCTGACCTCAAGTGATCCTCCAAAAGTGCTGGGATTACAGGCGTAAGCCACAGTGCCCGTCCTGTTTTCTGTATCTACTAGTACTTGGCATCTTGGAGCCTTGTTGACTCTGAAGAGGCTGCACCTCCAGGGCGAGCTAATTCTTAGAAATAGTAAATCACCCTCTGTGATGGCACCTTCCATATGTAAACCCACTCAGAGCCCGAGCCCCCAGAGCCCGGATCCCGAAGCCCAGAGCCCGGAGCCCAGAGCCGGAGTCCCGAGCCCAGAGCCGGAGCCCCGAGCCCAGAGCCTGGAGCCCAGAGCCGGAGCCCCGAGCCCAGAGCCTGGAGTCCGGAGCCCGGAGCTCCAAGCCCAGAGCCCCCAGCCCCGAGCCCAGAGTCCAGAGCCCAAAGCCCTGAGCCCCGAGCCCCCAGCCACCTCTTTTCTTGGCTCTTTTGTGGCTCCTACACTCCCAGCCAATATCCCCACCTTCATCTCCCCAGGGCCAGGTACCAGAATATTCAAGATAGCCCCTGTACCTTAGAGCCCATAGAAATGATTCCAGCCAGTCAGGCCCATGCCTGTTCACCCAGTCTTGCCCATTCCTACAGAGAAAGTCACAGGAAGGATGTTGGGCCGGGCGCAGTAGCTCACACCCGTAATCCTAGCACTTTGTGAGACCCAGGCAGGAGAATCGCCTGAGCCCAGGAGTTGGAGACCAGCCTGAGCAACATGGCAAGACTCCATCTCTACAAAAAATTTACAAAGATAGGTGTGTGTGGTGGCACACCCCAGTTACTCAGGAGGCTAAGGCAGGAGGATCACTCGAACCTGGAAGGTCAAGGCTGCAGTGAACCGTGATTACATCACTGCACTCCAGCTTGGGTGAGAGCGAGGCTCTCTCTCGCTCTCTTTTTTTTTTTTTTTTTTTTTTTTTTTGAGATGGAGTCTCACTCTGTTGCCAGGCTGGAGTGCAGTGGCACAATCTCGGTTCACTGCAACCTCTGCCTCCCAGGTTCAAGCGATTCTCCTGCCTCAGCCTCCTGAGTAGCTGGGATTACAGGCATGCACCACCACGCCCAGCTGATTTTTGTATTTTTAGTAGAGATGGGGTTTCACCATGTTGGCCAGGATGGTCTTGATCTCCTGACCTTGTGATCCACCCACCTTGGCCTCCCAAAGTGCTGGGATTACAAGCGTGAGCCACCGCACCTGGCCCAAGACTCTATCTCAAAATACATATATATATAAAATACAAAATAAAGGCATTGTCCCTGCTCCTTCTGCCTCTGCCTGATGCTTTCTACTTGGCCTTCCGTGGCATAGTGTGGTGTGGCATGGCATAGCCCTGAGCAGTCTGCTACACCTCCTTTCGGAAATGAATTTAACAAACTATCTTTTCAAGTCAGCCTTCTCCTGATCTGTTGGCTTTGCCATATGAATCATAAAACTTACATTTTAAGACTGGGGCAGAAACCCATAAAGGACTTGCTTTCCCAGTGGACTTTTCTAAACATGACCTTGAGCTAAGAACTTAAGACTCCCAAATACCCCCAGCATCTGATCGAGAGGCCAGATCTATGGGGCTCCTCAATGGACTTCCCAAGACCAACTTTGTGCCATGGATGCTCAACTGTTTCAGGGCAGGGAGCGGAAGAGCCGCCCTTACCGAGCTGGGTGTCTTCAGGGTGAATATCCGCCAGGGCAGGGGACATCGGCGAGTTGATGGCATTCTTGCCTTCTTCCTGCAGGTCACTCACTGTTGAGCAAAAGGAAAGAAAAAACAGGTTAGCATACACAGAGTGCCACGGCCTCATGTGTAGGCTGTGGACATAGAGATAAATCAGTTCCTGTTTTTTCAGCATTTAACAGACATTCCTAAAGGTCTGTTGCCCAGAAAGAGTCAGAGGGAAAAATGCACCAAACCAAGAAAACATGCTGCAGTTCCTCCCCACCCCAAATATTTCCCAATTCTTACCAAGCCCTGCCAGTCTGTTTTCACTACTCTTTGAAACTCATAACTAAGACACCAAAGCTTCCAGATGCTTCCAGATCTGACCAAGGCTGCCGAGCCAGACAAACCACGGACCACAGTGATGGGGCATGAAAGGGTGGGGCTGCCCTCCCTCTGCAGGGGGACTATGTCCTGAGCCACGGACTCGAGAGGCTAACCCCCTCCGGTCATGCACACAGGTGAGTGTGGAGTTCAAAGTGTGGTCACTGGTGACAGCCACATTCACAGGGACAGAAATCTGATGGAACACCCAGGTCAGGACTGCTGGGACATACAACAAAATCTAATAAAGAGAGCCAGAGGCTTCAAATCAGAAACACCATGACCTCCTGTCTCAAGGGACTCCTAGACAGTTACAAGGTCTGGAACGCCCAGTGATTAGTGACAATCCCAGAACAAGAAACGACCCCTCACCTCCCTGCACCAGTGAGACCCTCCAGGCCTTTCAGGCACACCCACCAGGGAGGAATACCCACGCACGAAATGCCTGGGGCCAACCCCCTCGCTTCTCTAATATTGCACTTCTTCCAAAGTTCACAGTCTCGGCCCCTGCTGCACGTGGGACCCCAGGTTCCAGCCCCAAGACACATCCGTGGTGCCAGGTGGAGGCAGGGCCGTGGCAGCTTTCACGGCCCTGGTGGAGGGCCACGGGGAGCAATCCCTGATCACATGCCACAGAAGTAGCCAGGCCAGTGTGCCCGGAGCTCTACTGCCTTCTCACTGAAACAGACTCAGGTAAATCTGAATTCACACACCATCTCTTTAAGTCAGTCTTCTGATCTGTTGGCTTCACTATCTGAATAAATAAACTTACATTTTAAGACTGCGGCAGAAACCCACAAAGAAGGACTTGCTTCTTTCATTTAAACTATGTCCCCTTTTAACACCACAGTCACCTCTCACCTTGAACACCGCCAGCTCTTGACACCCTGCCTCCACCGCGGCAGGCGACAGAACAGCAGGGGGGTGTGGTGTGATGGCTTCGGAGCAGCAGGCCAGCGGGGCCCCACCCGTGCTGGCCATGAGACCCCAGGTACATCCCACTCACCTCTCTGTGCCTGTTCCCACACGTGGCATTTATAGATAAGACTGTAAAAACGCCAGGGCCTTTGGAAGGACTGAACGTAACCACGAATGTCAAGTGCCCAGCCCTGAGAACGGCACGCAGTGGGCTCTCGGGACACACCGTGGACCCAGCTTTCAGGACGACACAAGCCCCATCCCACGTAACAGCAGCGGGGCCCCAAGAGGCCAGCTCCTCTCGTGTCATCAAAGGCCCTGATACTCAGCTTCTTAAAAAGCAGACCCTCTTTTACCCTGTGTTCACAGCAGCACTACTCAAAACAGCCCAAAAGTGGAAATAACCCAGGCCGGGCATGGTGGCTCATGCCTGTAATCCCAGCACTTCGGGAGCCTGAGGTGGGTGGATCATTTGAGTCAGGAGTTCGAGACCATCCTGGCCAACATGGTAAAACCCCATCTCTACTAAAAATAAAAAAATTAGCCAGGCATGGTGGCTACTTGGGAGGCTGAGGCAGGAGAATTGCTTGAACCTGGGAGGCAGACGTCACAGTGAGCCGAGATCACACCACTGTGCTCCAGTCTGGGTGACAGAGCAAGAGTCCGTCTCAAAAAAAAAAAAAAAAGTGGAAATAACCCATGTTTCTGCACATGGCATTTATAGATAATACTGCAAAAATGCCAGGGTCTTTGGAAAGGCTAAATGTTTTTTGGTTTTTCTTTGTTTTGTGAGATGGAGTCTCACTCTGTTACCCAGGCTGGAGTGCAGTGGCACGATCTTGGCTCACTGCCACCTCCACCTCCTGGGTTCAAGTGATTCTCCTGCCTTAACCTCCTGAGTAACTGGGACTACAGGCACATGCGACCATGCTCGGCTAATTTGTTGTATTTTTAGTAGAGACGGGGTTTCACCAGGTTAGCCAGGATGGTCTCCATCTCCTGACCTCATGATCCACCCATCTTGGCCTCCCAAAGTGCTGGGATTACAGGTGTGAGCCACGGCACCCAGCCAGAAGGGCTAAATGTAACCAAACCATGAACGTCAAGTCCCCAGCCCAGAGCGTGGCATGTGATGGGCTCTCGGGACACAGCTGTGGACCCAGCTTCCAGGACAACACAACCTCCATCCCTTATAAGGACAACGGAAACGGGGTCCCAGGATGCCTGCTACCCACTTCCCACAGGTAATATATTTGCATTTTAAACAGGCACCTCATCCTGGAGGACTGCCTGATGCAGGAGGATCAGAGCCTAGGTACAGATTGGGGTTAGGAAGGTCTTTGATTGAAGGGAGCTTTCGGGCACTGCTGCAGCCACTGAGTCTTGGTATTTGAGAACACCAGATGAATAAGTAAGCAAAACATGGTCCATGGATACAATGGAATATTATCCAGCCTTAAAAAGGAAGAACATGGCCTGGCGTGGTGGCTCATGCCTGTAATCCCAACATTTTGGGTGGCTGAGGCAGGTGGATCATGAGGTTAAGAGATGAAGACCATCCTGGTCAACATAGTGAAACCCTGTCTGTACTAAAAATATAAAATTTAGCTGGGTGTGGTGGCAGGCACCTGTAATCCCAGCTACTCAGGAGGCTGAGACAGCAGAATCACTTGAACCTGGGAGGCAGAGATTGCAGTAAGCCGAGATCACGCCATTGTTGCACCCCAGCCAGGCAACAGAGCAAGACGCCATCTCAAAAAAAAAAAAAAAAAAAAAGGAAGGAAGGACATTCAGACCAGGCTACAGCATGGGTGAACCTGGAGAAGGTTATGCTCAGTGAAATAAGCCAGACACAGAAAGTCAAATGCTGTACAATTCCACCAATAGGAGGACCGCATAGAGGAAAAAGCACAGAGGAAACGCATAGAGGAAAAAGCAGACAGGTGCTGCCAGGGCCAGGGGGAAGCAGCAGGTAGTTAGTGCTGAATAAAGACAGAGCTTCTGTTTGGAAAGATGAAAGAGCTCTGCGGGTGGGCAGTGCTGACGGCTGCATGATGAGAACGTACTTAATGCTAGTGAACTCTGCTCTTGAAAATGGCTAAGATGGTGAAGTTTACGTTATATCTATTTTACAACAATATATTTTAAAGCAGGCCCTGTCCAGGTAATGCACATTCCAGCCACGAGCCAGCCCAGCTGCCAGCACACACCGCCCTCCACACCCACATCCTAAGGGAAGACCCGGGCACCACTCATCTTTAATTTTCCAAAATCCATAGCATGACTCTGTGCCAGCAGCGGACAAATGCTAAACGCCTTCATGGGGAAATGATTCAGACATAGAGTTCTGAGACTCCCTCCGCCCCAGCTCCCTAAAAATACTCCAAAAGATCCCCCACAGGTCACCCAGATCAGCTGAGAAAACAGAGACCAAATTTCAGCAATTATTTGTACCACACGACTAGTTACAAAGAGAGCTGTAACCAGCAGAGTCTTAGCAGAAAGGAAACAGGGAAAAGTAATTTTTCACAGAAATCCTCTGGAATATGATTGCCCTGGAGCACGGGGGGTCTGGGTGGAAGTCCCATGTCCTCGCTGGTATCATGGGAGGAGGGGACAGGTCCAGGGAGGTCCCGTCCAGCACAGCTGCTGCAGTGCTCACACTGATGGGAGAGGACAAACAAAAGACCCAGTTTCCCTACGGGTGGAGGATCACCCAGGTGTGTCATGCCCATGCGTCCTCTTGGCAGGGCCTGAGAGCTGGCAATGCACCCACGTACCTGGGCCTAAGGGGTGGGGAGGGAGACCCCAGGGCAAGCAGCAATGCTGCGAGGCAGCCCTGCCCACCTAATTTCAAAAACACAGAGTGGGAGGAGGAGCGGAGCTGCATTTTGAAAGCCTAGAAATTGGGTCACATAAAAACAGAGATTTCCACACCGCCCTTGAACATCGAAGATGACACTAAACAGGACCAGGGATTTTGAGACCTTAATAAATGAGAAACATGCTCAGGAACCCCGCCCAGGGCCCGTTCAGCAGCACGTTCTGCAGGAACTGGTTATGCACGATGCCCTGAGGGGTGCAAAGGTTTCAGGGACCAGGAGGAGGGGGGCACAGGCGGGCAGACCCCTCAGCCGGCAGGAGGAGTCCAGAACTGTGGCCACAGAGCCCCAGTCCACAACTTGCATTGCCTCTTGCTGGTGTGTGGCCTTGTAAAAGTCCTCTCACCTCATTCAGCCTCAGTTTCCCCATCTGTAACATGGGGTGGTGGGAGTACTGGCCTCACAGGGGTCCTGAGGAATAAGAGGAATCATGAGCACTCCACACACGGCCCATAAACCCCCCTGCAAGTGGGAGAGGCGGCTATGGATGTACAGGGTCTCTGTGATTAGAGGCTCCAAGAGAGGCACAGACTGGGGGAAGAGTGACCACAAGGCAGGTAAGGTCCTCCATTCCATGGTGAAACACAGAGGGCTCCCTGGAGGAGGCAGCAATTGAACTGGCCTTGAAAGATGGCCAGGCTAAGAAAAGGGCCTTTGGAGCTCAGTACAGAGTGAAGGAGTGACAAACCATAGCCAGCATATCCAAAGCTGAACCTCATGAGGGTCCCAGGGATGCCCATCTGGGCCTTGCCGCATTTTGCAGCCTGGGTTCCCCAAAGAACACAGTTCCTTTGCAGAGGAACTTTCAGCCTGGATCTGATTGTCATCTTCAGAGGATCGGTCTGATTTTTGGAAGGAGGGGCTTCTCTGGCACCTTTGACTTCCCCCACGCTGCTCCACACC